GCCATGTGGTCACCTCCGGGGCAGGCGGGAATCGAACTCATGCAGAAGTGGTTTTAGCTTCTCAGTGCTGTGCTTTAACCCGCTGCGCCACCAGGGAGGGCCACCACACAGTTTTTATATGTCAATTTTAACCTGTCACTTTTATTATCATCATGTATTGCTCTTAATAACTTTTTGGTAGAGTCTTTAGTTTCTTTTATATATTGATATATAATATATTGTCAGCATAAGGAGATAATTTACTTTTCTAATTTGGATTTTTTGTTTTAAATACTAACTGCATTTTTACGAACTTTTCTAATAGGATAATAGAACTCAATGGTGGACAGCCACCTCTTACTTATAAAAGATTCCAGACCCTCATCAGCAAAATGGAACCATTAGAAATACCAGTAGAGACAATTACATCAGAAGTGATAGAAAAATGCACAACTCCTCTGTCTGATGACCATGATGAGAAATATGGAGTCCCTTCGCTGGAAGAACTAGGTGGGTGTTATAAATGGTGGTAAGTGTGGACCTTATGTGTTAATAGATCAGTAAGTGGCACTTCTCATTTTAACATGTGTTTTGTGTTAAAGACTAAAGGGTCATAAATTTGTGCATTATTCTGTTATTCTTTGTAGTCTATTATTCTATTATTATGTACCTCCTAGAGAATAAAGACCCTTTTCTAATGAATATCCAAAAGAAGGAGAAAAAGACTGTTATATTCTCCATGTCTAGGAACCTGTATAAGGTCCTCTACTCATTTTTGTGCTACTGCCACAATTTTCCTGCAAAGTAATGTAGTCTACAGTTATTATGGTTAAATAAAAATGATTTGAATTCCCAAAGAATAATATTTTTTCCTTCTTTCTTTTTTTTCAGGTTTTGATACAGATGGCTTATCCTCTGCAGTGTGGCCAGGAGGAGAAACTGAAGCACTTACACGATTGGAAAGGCATTTGGAAAGAAAGGTATGATAATGTAGATCATGCACTTTCATATTTCCAAAATGGAACTTTAATTTCTTTCTTCTTTAGAAACTAGAAATAAAGTGTTGAAAAGAATTGAGATTATTAAACCTATCATCTGAAAATTAACAATTGTTGTCTCATTTATATTTCTTCCTTTTCTGAGTATCTCCCTTTTAGCAACTACCAGTATTACCTTTCTAGCCCAATGAAATTAGGATAGAGTTCTTCTAACGTTACCTCAGTGTCAAAGAGATAGGTAGAAGGACCTCTCAGCCTATGTTAGGAATTTGAAGGTAATTTATATCATGCGAGTAAGTGTTCCATGAAAATGACTGAAATGAAAGGTTATTCATTTATCCTTTTTTTGTTTTTTATTAAAACGTTGCTGGAATAATAAGATATTATTTCCCATTTTATTCCCTAGGTGAACTATGTCACTCATTGAAAATTTTTTATTGTAAGCAGTCTTTTAAAATGGAAATGGAAATTAATTGGCAAAATTTTCTCTGTGTGCTTTCAGGCTTGGGTGGCAAATTTTGAAAGACCTCGAATGAATGCGAATTCCCTGCTCGCTAGCCCTACTGGTCTTAGTCCCTACCTTCGATTTGGTTGTTTGTCCTGTCGACTGTTTTATTTCAAACTAACAGATCTCTACAAAAAGGTACTATCTAAAACTGGAGCTTATTTTTAAAAATACTTTTTATATAAGTGTTGGTAATACTTTGTTTTTTAATCTTAGGTAAAGAAGAATAGTTCTCCTCCACTTTCCCTTTATGGGCAGCTATTATGGCGTGAATTTTTCTATACAGCAGCAACAAATAATCCACGCTTTGATAAGATGGAAGGAAACCCTATCTGTGTTCAGATTCCTTGGGATAAGAATCCAGAAGCTTTGGCAAAATGGGCAGAAGGCCGTACAGGCTTTCCATGGATTGATGCCATCATGACACAGCTTCGACAGGAGGGCTGGATCCACCATTTAGCCAGACATGCGGTTGCTTGCTTCCTGACCCGAGGTGACTTGTGGATTAGTTGGGAAGAAGGAATGAAAGTAAGAGTACTTCCAATAAATGTAGCATGGTTGTGTTTTGAAGGCCACTATATATATAGATATTGAAACAATTCCTGAAGTGGTCTGCTAGGTTAATTCATTAACAGTTCTAATTATTCAGCTGGTGAAACTTTCAATTCCTATAAAGCAGTAACTTTTGGAGAGCAGAAAGTATAATAGACAAGAAAAATGGTGAAAACTGGTTAACTCAGTTCATTGACTAAACCAGCTTTGCCATCAAAGGAACTACTATCTAGACTTACTGGTTTGCTGCCTGTATAGGTGATAGTTTCTTTCATAAAAAGGATTCAAATAAGAGTTCTTAAAAATAGTGATTTTTATTATGAATTTTAAAATAGAAATCATTTCACATAACTTCAGCATCACAGCTTTTTACTACTAATTATATAAAATGAAGCATACTACATTTTGTTACATGTTTTACCATTTCTGATCCTGATTTTTTTTTTATTACAAAAGTTTATTTTTACATCATTTTGTATTTTTTTTTTTCCATCTCGATTGTAATCCCCGCGGGTTCCCCATCACCAAATCACTCGTGTGCCATCACCATAATCCCGTGCTTTTCTCTCCCCCCCCCCCATTTTTGATCCCATTCCCCACTCCACCCCCACAAAATGTCTCTGGTATATGGTTGTTCATTATTTTTGTTATGTTCTCACCTGGTCCATTATACTCCTGCTATGAGTGAAACCATCCGGTATTTTTCTTTCTCTTTCTGGCTTATCTCACTAAGCATGATCTTTTCCAGCTCCATCCAAGTTGCTGCAAAAGACATGTGTTTCTCTTTTTTGGTTGCTGAGTAATATTCCATTGTATATATGTACCACATCTTTTTTATCCACTCATCTACTTTTGGGCATTTGGGCTGCTGATCCTGATTTTTTTTTAAAGATTTATTTATTATTATGCTTACAGAACTGGAGTACAGGCTTCACCAGAGACAGAGTGGGGAGCAGAACAGGCAGATTGACAAAGTACACTGCTGAGGGGAGCAGTGGGCGGATCAGAAGAGGTCTGCCACACCATGTGGGTCAGCTCCATGGCTGGAGATGGAATTCATGCTGCAGTGGCTTCAGAGAGCTTCCTAATGTGGTGCTCTAACCTGTTGCACCACCAGGGAGAGCCCTGATCTGATTTTTTGCATCTGTTTCCTAATAAAAAGTTGTACTTGAGGTAGATTTATAGCATACAGTAAATAATTCATAGGAAATCATTTACATTGATTCTGTTTTTCTTTTGGATCAAGGAATTCCAAAGTGTTAACTATAATGGTAGTAATTTTTAGTCATTTTTGTTTAGGTCCTCTTTTTATATAGACCAGTGTACTAAGTTTCTAAGTTTTTGTTAGTGATTTCTTTGGTAGCATTTTTGCTTTCTTGAAAACTTTACTCCTTTTTTTTTTCCACTCTGTAAACTCCACATATACCTTTTTATCCTGTTTATTAGTGAAGAGTGACTTTTATATCCTCTCTCTTCCCATAACACTGGTAAATTCCATTTAGAAATTTACTTATATTACTTGTTTCTTTTGCAAAATAACTCATTATAGAACATAACACAGACAAGGAAGCTAACTTTGGAATGTTCAGTTTTACAGTCTGTATAAGTTTTTCTTTGCCTGACTTTTGATCTGTAGTGACCTGGAAGATGCTTACTTTGAGAATTGTGTGTGCAAATTAATTGGTTACTGTTACTTCCAAAGGTATTTGAAGAATTATTGCTTGATGCAGATTGGAGCATAAATGCTGGAAGTTGGATGTGGCTGTCTTGTAGTTCCTTTTTCCAGCAGTTTTTTCACTGCTATTGCCCAGTTGGTTTTGGTAGGAGAACAGACCCCAATGGAGACTATATCAGGTAAATCAAGGGTGATTTTTATTCAATTTGAATAGCTAATGCAGCAGAAAATTTTCGTGTTTAAGTAAAGCTTAAAGTATTCTCCATTCATGATTGGCAGCAGAGATGAAGAAAAAGACAAACAAGTCATTTAAATGGTATTGATTTGATTTGGGTCTCTCATTTTGAAGTTTATTATAATCTGCTTATAATTCAATTTATTAATAATTTTTTCCTTTTCCCAAAAGGCGTTACTTGCCTGTTCTGAGAGGCTTCCCTGCAAAATATATCTATGATCCCTGGAATGCACCAGAAGGTATTCAGAAGGTCGCCAAATGTTTGATAGGAGTTAATTATCCTAAGCCAATGGTGAACCATGCTGAAGCAAGCCGTTTGAATATTGAAAGGATGAAACAAATCTATCAGCAACTTTCACGATATAGAGGACTAGGTATGTCAGTAGCTGACTTTGATTTGTTTCTTTGACAATCTTTTATGTGCCTTTCCTTGATTTTTATCTCAGTCATCATTCAATAGGCATTATTTTCCCTCAGGTCTTCTTGCCTCCGTGCCTTCTAATCCTAATGGAAATGGAGGCCTCATGAGTTATTCTCCAGGAGAAAATATCCCAGCTTGTAGCAGCAGTGGAAGTAAGTAAAAAGGAAATTTCTGCATTTAGTAACAGAGAGGTTAATAATGAAATATATTAATTATTGGACCTTACAACAGTTAAAGATCCAGCTTTAAAATGTGTGTGATATGTTCTTCATACTCCTGCATACGTATGTGTAATATTCACATACACAAACACACGAGTGAGATTTTAGAGATGGAAAATATCATTACATGTAGAATTTGAGTCAAGGTAAAAGATCTTCTGTACCTTGAATGAGGAGAACAATTTTCAGGGTAAAATAAGAGTTGTATATCACATTCTTTGAATGCTCATTATTTTTTATTCTCTTTAGTACACATCACCTGTAAGGTAATTAGTTAAGGACAGAAGGCCAAAAGATTTATTCATGAATAAATGTTTTTAATTTATTTGTTCATGTTAGTTAAAGCTCATCACTGTGAAGCTGTTCACAGCCACTATAGCATGAGTTGGATCCTGGCCAGGAAGGCGACCCTTGTGGCTCAGCAGTGGATCTGCTTGTTCTACCCCCCATTCTTTCTCTGGTGAATCCTCTTGTCCCCCACATCTCTGGCCTGTACCTCAGTTCTTATATGCATAAATAAGTAAATATTTTTTTAAGAAAAGTTTTTTTTATTGCTCAGGCTGGGTAACTACCATATTGTGTGTTATATGATTTGCATAGTTCATTATGTTTTAAATACCAACAGGTTGTCCTCAAGGAAGTGGTATTTTACATTATGCTCATGGAGACAGTCAGCAGACTCACTTATTAAAGCAAGGTAAGAATGAAGCATTGGCGCATATAGGTTTTTTTACCTTTCCTGTCTTAATACATTATTAATTTTCATATATTATTTAAATTTTTTATTGTGTTAACATTGATTTATAATACATACATTTCAGGTATAAAGCATTATAAATCAATGTCTGTATATACTACATTTTATTTGCCAGTAAGCATCTAGTTTCCATTTTCTACATATAGTTGACTCCTTTAATATGTTATATTCCCTCCCCTTACCCCCTTCCTTTTCTTAACCATTGTTTTGTTCTTGAGTTTATTTTTGTTTTTGTTTTATTTGCTCATTAGTTACATCTTTATTTTCCACATAAGTGAAATCATTCAGTGCTTTATCTTTCTCTGCCTACCTTATTTTGCTTAGCATAACACCCACTAAGTTCATGCATATAGTTGTAAATGGCAGGATTCTGTCTCTTTTTTGTTGTTGAGTAAGTCTGCCAATGTGTACATACACCACATCTTTATCCAGGCGTCTCCCAGTGGCACTTCGGTTGTTTTCGACACTTGGCTGTTGTGAATAATGGCTGTGTTTTTGTTTCCTTGAGAAAGATACCCAGAAGTGGGATGGATAGATGGAGTGTATAAAATTCCTTGTCTTTAAAATTTTTTCAGAAACCTCCATGTTGTTTGCCCTATAACTGCACCAATTTACATTTGTGCTAACAGTGTATGAAGGTTCCCTCTTCTCCACATCCTCACCAACACTTGTTTCTTTTCCTTTTGATAAATGCTACTCTCACAGGAATAAAGTGTTATCTTATTGATATTTTGATTTGCACTTTCCAAAAAATAAGACATGATGAACACATCTTTTCATGTGCTTGTTAGCTATTGCTGTGTCTTCTTTGGAGAAGTGTTTGTTCATAACCTCTGCCCATTTTTTTTTTATTGAATTACTTTTTTGCTGTTGAGTTGTAGGATTTCTTTATGTATCGTGGGTATGAACACCTTGTTGGGTGTATCATTTGCAAATAACTTCTTCCATTTAGTAGGTTGCCTTTTCATTTTGACTATAATTTCATTTCTTGTCCAGAATTTTTTACTTTTATATAGTTCTTTTTTATTGACTTTTGTTTCCCTTGCCTTTAGAATCAAATCCCCAGATATAGCTAAGGCCTATCTAAAGGACCTTTTCACCTGTGTTTTTCTTCCATGTATTTTATGATTTCAATTCTTAACAAAGTCTTTACATCTATTTGAATTAGTATTTGTGGATGATGTGAGGTAGTGGTCTAGTCTCATTCTCTTGTAGTTGGTATCCATTTTCCCAGCATCATTTATTGAAGAGACTTTCCTTGTTTCATGCTATATATTCTTGGTTCAATTATCATTAAATTTCTTGTCCATGTTTATGTGGGTTTATTTCTGGGCTCTCATATCTTAAACATACACATTTAAATGCAGGAAGAAGCCCTCTCGGCACTGGCCTGAGCAGTGGGAAACGTCCTAATCAAGAAGAGGAAACTCAGAGTTCTAAAGTCCAGAGACAGAGCACTAATTAGGTAAATATTTGGAGCTTTATTTCTTGCTTTAGAAGAGTGTGTAGTGAACGTAAATTGACATAGTTTCCATAACAAAGCTGATCTCTATTTTTAAACCAGATAATCTGAGGCTTAATTTTTTCAGTGACTGAAACAAAATCAGTTAATTCTAGGACAAGAGAAATGCATCTCTACTGATCAAAATATTTCACTCAGCTTTATAGTCATCTGCATCAATGAACTTTGAATTTTTTCATGACTTTTTTTTTTTAGTTTTTTATTGAAGTCAGATTTCATAATCACATTACATAAGCTTAAAATGTGAATCATTACAAGTAACAGTGATCTTTTTTTGAAAAGCTTATGATATTGTGGTAGTTTTTCTCAGAAAAAGACATTTTTGATTTCTTTGCTATGTGACCGAAAGTCTTAAAACAAAAGAATGGCCTTACAATAACATTTTAGTAGTAGTAATATAATCCCTCTATGAACTCCCCTCTACCTTTGTCCTTAAGTTTTTATAAATTTCTTTTATCTAAACTTGTAATATCTAAATTCTTTTCAATGTGAGACTAGTTTAGGCTCTTTTAGGATGTATAAAAATAGTCATATGTGTACTCAGATTATAGACATGAGCTATTGTTTTGTGATTTAAATTTATCCAAAAGGTATTTTATAGTTCATCTCTCAGTTGATAAAGACTTGTTTTTAGTTATATTAAATTATTTACATGTAAAAATTTATAGTTTTTAAATGTCAACCTATTTAAAACTAAGTTTTTTGGAAATTAGATCAATAAACATTTATCAAATTTTTATCTTTTAATTTCTTGCAATCAGGCTTTACTCAGTTTTTTTTCCCTTAAATCACAGAAAACATTCAGGAGGAATACTGTTGCAGCTGAAATTTGTGGGGGGTTCAGTAGTTTTTCAGTTAAATTATTTTAAAGTGTTCGTCATTGATGGAAAGCGGTTACATTTTGAAATGCATTATTTCTAATTAGATTTCTGTGGTTTTTAACTTTTTAATGAATTTCACATAGGACAAACCCTAATTTGTATATAAAGAATTTGGTAAGAGAATTTGCTTAATGTAAATATAAATAGTCACAATTAGAATAGACCCATCAGTATATTTTTGATAATTTTTAATGTATGGTACAAATTAAAGTGGTAAACTGATATTCTCATAAAAGTTCAAGTTTTGAGAGTCAATGTGGAAAACAGGAGGTTTTTAGACTTTCTTAAAAGACCTTGTTAAAATTTTAGGACACAGTTTTCTGGTCATCATTGTTTGATCTCACTTTGTGATCTTTAATATTTTAGAAAATGTATGTGATTAATTGTAGATACAACTTCTGTTAACATAGACAATAATGTGTTTTAAAGCTTTATATATGCCATTTTGACCCAAACTTGTGAAAGTATCATGTGTTAAGTTCTTCTTGTCTCCTTTTCTTTGTTCATTTACAGCTAAAATAACCTTGTTATTAAAGTATATGCAAATGGAATCTTGCTACTTGGTGGGGTTGTCTTTTTGTTTTGCTTTGTTTTAAATCTCTTGATGCTTTAGGTAAGGGAAAAGGTGTGACTTGATTTTAAATTGGAAACAGATTCTCTAAATCACATTACCAGTCTGAAAGAACAGCAACAGTGAAATAGTATTTTGTAAGGTAATTAGCCCTTTCCAAACACTGTATACTCAAAAAATTAGATTTTGGGCAAGGAAGATTTAAACTTGGGGTTATCCCCAAGTAATGGGGCTTGTAACTGAATTACAAGGATAATAGTGAAGATTGTGGGCTCTGGAGTCAAATGCTTGACGCTATTGCTACTCATTAGTTTTGAGATAGTGGATAAGTTACTGTCTGTGCCTTCTCTTTTCTCATATATGAAAGTAGTATCTGCTTCATACTTGATACCAAATGCATCTAACAGTGTCTGGTGTATGGCAGAACATTCAAGACATGCTGACAACAGGGCTATGTTTTGTAGCTCCCCGGAGGCTATTGTACTGCCTGTGTAGCTGTACCCTGCAGCTCTGGCTAGCTGTCCTTGTCATTGCTTTTAGTGTCCCTTTGCTATTTTCTAATCGGTTACTTCTTCCCACACAGAACTGTAACAAGTGACTTGTTTTCCCATCTTTAGTAATGATAGATAATTGAATTATCTAGGTTACAGATAAATAATTATATCATATATAAGTTTATATCATGATACTGATAGATGATTTATATATAGCATTATATTAATATAATTAATGTTAATAGTTCATTGATAATATATCTTATATCATGTATAATAATATATATAGCCACATATATAGCATATAATTATATTATCTAATCTGATAATTATACTTAAAGGTATAACAGGTAAATTTGAGTAAAAAATCTAGAAACTATAGTTTTAGATGACATGCATTTTTAAAAATATCCTGGATAATGGATTAATACTGACTGTTAAATTCTATTACTGAGAAAAGAAAAAATAAGTGCCTTATCTTTCTTTTACCTCTGTTAATAAAGAGAGATATTTTAATAGTTTTTCATGATAGCTATATTTTACATCCTGTATTCTGGACATTGGTTGTATTGTATGAAGTTGAGAAATCCATTGATCTGGGATTTACTCTTACCAATGAGGGGAATATCAGTTTTAATGTAAATAATAAGTATTTTAGTAAAAGAACACTATGTTACTATAGGTAATGATATTTTACCTTTATACGGAGAGAGATTTTGTTTGACACTTTAGGAGTATTTTTTTTGTTTTTTTGAAACATTTTCCAGTTCAGACTACACTGTAACTGAAAGGGCATGTTATCGGTCAGGGTGCTTCAGTGGAGTAGACCCACTCTGTTTGGATACAGTATTCTCTGTAAAAGGTTTGGTCTTCTAAAAACCCTGCCTGTTACAGAGGGACTTAAGACCATTTATTCATACACTAAATACTTCTTGAACTCACAAGTTGCTGACAACTTGAAAAAGTTGTGTTGAGTGGGAAACAAGCATTTGAATGAAACAATGCAAAGTCATTATGTTTTTCACTTTCACTTAAATTAGTAAATTTGGGATATAAATGACTGGTAACAGTATTATTTTAATGTATCTCTTTATATACTAGAAACTTTTAGATCATCCCATAATTTTAAATGTATGTGACTTTCTAGTAGATAATATGCATAACACTAAGTTCTTTCCCCCATTTCTCCAAGTATTTTTTCTTTATTGTATTATTCTAGAAATGCACTTTTTAATAATTTGAAGTGGTAAACACTTTGGGCAGCATTGATTTAATACAGTGGCATAGCTGAGTTGGCCATTTAATACAATGGCATAGCTGAGTTGGCCATTTTCAAGTTTTGATTACAATGATGTGCATTCCTGTGTCTGTCATTCCCCACACAATCTGTTACAAGCTGCCACACACTAGTGCAATTCTCCCTCCCTCCCCTGAACCCTCCTGCCCTGTGACTGCTACATGCAGGTCTAAGGCCTGAGTTTTACATTCTTTAACTTTTCTTCTCTGTACCCTGTTGTGATTCCCTTCTTGTAAGTACAGGCGACACACTGGTTGGTCTGGACCCCAAATCCTTGTATTTTAGGAAAAAGTGTATAGTAAAGCTGTGGATGATATGGGTTTTATATAGGGGTAACTTAGATATGAAAGGGTTACTGGACAAGCAATCTCCTACCTCATATACATTGGCTAGTCAGTTAATTCTAGAATATCCTGGCGATCAAAAGTTGATCTTGAAACAAGGCTTCTGTCTGCTACTCTGGATTTAAAGTACAAGTGTCACTCTTTGAACAATGCCTGCTGAAAGCTTTAAGTCTAACTGAAAGATGTAGTTAGCATTTTCTCAGTTCCTACCCTATACCAAGCTTTCTTTGTAGGAAAATAAATTCATTTCTTTGTAGGAATGTAAATTCCGTATTCCCAAGGAGTTTACCCCAAAGGTAAAAGAGAAGCCTGGAAGAATTGCCAATGCTGTTAAGGCTGTTGGAACTGTGCACGGTAAATTATGAAACACAGGGAGGGAGAGCTGGGAAAATCTCAGCTTTTCTGATTCCAACTCTAAACAGGAATCAGCTTCATAGAGCAACTAGGCCATTACTAGGGCACCCTTGAAAATAATCGACACTAGTTCAAATCATGTTTCTAGTTGTTAATGCCTTTGTTCTCTAGAATGTAAACTCCATCAGGACAGGCAGTGTACTTTATACCTATACCACCCCTGGTGTCCAACTGTTTCAACGGCTTGGCACTTGGTGAGTCGTAAGTTATTTGTTGCTTGGATAGATAAATGCGATTATAAAAGAGGCAAACATTAAGTTTGTCTTTAAGGAGAAATTAATTTTTGCTTATGAAACTGGCTTCACAGGTAATCATTAGAATGTAAGCCACTTAGTAGTTTTATCAGAAAAGCCAAATATTTAGATGGAACTGGCTGGGAGAAGGGGGACTTTTAAAGATGAATCAGTAGTGGTCACTGATCGCTGCAGGGTGGAGGGTAGCCAGGATGCTAAGTAATGTCCCCAAGATCCAAAGAAGTTTGTAAAATTTTAAACATTTCTATTAATTACTTCTTAACCTATCAAATTACAATATGATGGTAATTCTGAAAGGCTTAAAGATAAAGAAATTTCTGAATTACTTCCATGTTTTTTCTGATGGGCTAAAGACAATCCGCAAAAGATAAGACGACTAGAACTCCCAGGTTGTCTAAAATGCAGGGAAGAAAAAAAAGGGTGTGAAAATGCGGGAGTCAGTTAATTGCTGGCTGCTGGCGCCTGCGTGATTCCCACGTTGGCCGCCTCGGCTGGGGGCGCGTGGGGGAGCCTGAGCCTCGCGCTGGAATTGGCTGCGTTGGGTGCCGCGGGGCGTGTCTGCGAGCTTGTTCCGCGTGCTGATTGGCTGCGGGCGGAGACTGGGCCTGCTCTGCGGAGGAAGTTCGGCAGCCGCCCGGGACACGTCTCCGGACCGTGGCCTGCCCCCGACCTCGCGCACACCAGGCACCGCCGCGGGGAGGAGGAAGGACCCCGGGAGGGCTGAAGGACGGAGCTAGCGCCCGGAACTCGCAGTGCCTCGCGCGGAGCGGACGCCCACAGGTGAGTCGGTTCTTCCTCCGCCCTGGGGGACTGTCGTAGCTCTGGGCGGTGCACTGGCCGGAAGCGGAGTTCTGGGCCGCCTGCCCATGGCTTCACTCTGCGGGCAGGCGAGGTTCGTAGTGACCCTGGGCCCTGCAAGTCAGGTGGGAAGCTTCTCTGGAAAGGCACGTGATGACTGTGTGAAGATCTTTGCCCCCTGACATCCTCTTCCCTGGCGTTTTCCTGCTTACAAACTCAACAGATCGTACATTGCTGTAAAGGGAGAAGGAATACAGTAGGGGACTGTATTAATAGAAAACTCTGTGTTGCCGATGTGAATTCCACTTTTAATATGTAATAGCCCATATTTTGTGTGATTTCACAAGTAGTAACCGAAGCATTACTAGTCTAAGAGACAAGGATGGATACGAGCCGTTATTGAGTCCAGGGTCTGCTGGTTTGGGGCTGTCATTTAATGTGCAGGTTACTTTCCCTGTATATGTTTCTCCTCTTTGAAATAGTTTGTTGTGATGATTTAATAAGTTAGCGTGTGTGAAGTTTTCAGAATACTCTGTGAAGTCATGTTACCAAATGCATTTGATCTTTACTGTCACTCCGGTGTTTTCCCCGTCATTACCTGATGCTCCAGGCACAGAGAAGTAAAGTGACTTCAAATCACAACACAACTGATGACCAGGAATTAATTAAACTCAGGCAGCCCACAACTTTATCCTCTACATTAAGTTGCCTCATGAGCTTATTGGTTCTTGGGGGACCAGGTTCTTTGCTGGTATAGGAAATAAAGCAAAATAGCACCCAGGTCTCCTCTCTTGCTGCTTACAATCTAGTGCAGGTTATTCATAGTTGGATTGTGGGTGCCCATGTATCCTGCTAAAATCTTTTTTGCAACATGGTCTGAGGTAGGTCATTTTTGGTGGGGAAAGATTTTGTGGCTTTTGTTGGATTGTCCAATGGTATGAAAAATGTTATAGGAGGATTAGTGTCTAGCATAATGCCTGCCTGACAGGGTAAGCTTAAACAAACACCACTGCTTGGAGGAATGAGGGATTTATAGGAGTAATGATACGTGGTCCAGTAAGGAGTAGGATGCAAGGAAGAGCTCACTCAGGGTCCAGAAATGCCTCTGAAAATCAGTGAGAGCAGCCAGTGCGTGGGGAAGAGATTCACTGGAATATGGTAGCTGCCTCTGTGAAAAGCAGAACTGTCTATTATGCATGAAGGCCTGTAATGGAGACTAGAGCTTCATTATTATGTGAAGAGGAGGCCTATTTCCTGAGAATATGAGACTTAGACTAGGCGTTCGGGGCATTTTGGCCCTCAGTCTTCAGAGACATTGTGGTAGAAACAAAGCACCTGGGATTGCAAGGAAGCAGATATGACCAGTGTGGGAATAAAGCGACAGATTTTTTGGGTGGCAAGAGAGCCCACTCAAAAAGACCTTATAAGAAAGGCTTTTTTATTTTATGGTATTGTCCTAAAGTGCCACTGAAAACTTTATTGCAGGGAGGTAACAAGATCCCATTTGAGAAGAAACTGGAGAGAAGCCCATGTGGATTCACTGACTTCCTGGACAAGGACAGGATCTTTGGGGAGAACCTGTAAGGTAATAAAAGGAGAGGATTGCAAACCAAGGTTTGAAGATGTGCATGCAGAGGAAACAGATAAATGGATGTCAGAAGTGCATGTGTGAACAGAACGCATGGAAAGTGCTGGGAGTTGAGTAGAGAGTGTGTGAGATAAAGTGCCAAGCTGCTGAAAGCTGCAGAGGTCAATAGAAAAGGAATTTTTTGGCTTTCTGCACATGGGAGGTGTTTATGCTGGGAACTTTAGGAGGAAAGGATTGGAGAAAGTGTTGCGTAGGAGTTAGCTGAGGGGAATTTTTGCTGAAGGGTTGGTAGAACAGCCCTTGAGGTAAAGGGTGGTGTCAGCGAGGAGTCAGCCTAAGGGGTAAGTATGTGAAGAGAAGAGCCCTGGCTATCTCAGACCATCAGGGCTGGGAGCAGCACAGAACAGCACTTACTGGACAGTGAAGGGTTTGACTGGCAGGAGGGGAGGTGACATTGCTTTCCCTTCTTTGCTCATATTAGTGGCAGGCGAATTGGTTGAGAGTGAAGGAAGGGTATAGGAAGGCAGGAAGGTGGAAGTCTGAGTGGGGAAGCCTTGACATAGTTGGAGGGAGACTGGGAGGAGTGAGTTTAACTAGATTGTTTCAGCATTCTGGCAGAGGGAACCAAGAATGCACGCAACAAAGTCAGAAATTAGCCTCCTGGCCCATTCAAGGAATTGCAAATGGATGCTCTTTAGAAACAACCTATATTTATAAATATAATAAAAGAGAAATCATAAATAATGGGGTAGGAAATTACAATGATAAAGGGGATAAAAAGCCAAAAATATTGATACACATCAAAATATGAGTTGTGTATAGGTGATGAAGTTGTGGAAAGTTTTTTCCATTTCCTCCTATTTTTTTCAGAAGTCACATTCTCTGTAGGGAATACATACTACTATTGTAAGTAGTTACTTTGGATAACAATTTAAAATACAGTATCTACAATTTTTAGTTATTCCCTGTAAATAATGTACTTCCCCTTAATAAGTATTTGCTTCAGCTTATCAATTTGAAAATATAAAACATTTCACATTTAGCAAGTGTATAAGTAGTGCCTTATTCTCCTTAGAGGGATCACATTAGAGTTGTAGGAAAAGGAGATTGTGTCAAAATGATAATTGCGGTCTGTGCATTTTTACATTCGGGTCTAGCTACTGATCTGCAGGGTAGAAACAAGGTTGTTTTACACAGTTGTTACAAAGTTCAGATTGTTTTTATAAAAAAAAGTATGTAAGATGTCTCAGTTATGAAGAAGTCAGTTTCCCAGTTATTTTAGAATATCTTTTGATAAGATTAATTAAAATATTTAAATCAGAAATGATATAAAGTAGGTATTTTATATTCCACATGAGCAGTTTTCCTGTCTAGTTTAAAACAGTTTTATTTCCAGACGCTTACTCCTCATAGCTCAAATCTGTGTGTTCCGAAAGTCCAGACCCTTTATATTAAAACCTGCATTCTCTTTTTTCAGGTTTGATGTGTACACTCTTTGAGCCCCGGGATAGTAGGAGTTAGCCAATGGATTGCAGGCATGTTGTGGAAGTTAATACTGAGGTCCCAGTCCTGCAGGCTGTATTCTTTCAGAAAAACGCTATCAACTCCAAAACACAGACCTCTCTTAGCAACCTGTACTTATACAACCAGTAAGCAATCAGACAAAGAAAATAAGAAGACCGTGGAAAGGCTCTATAAATTATCTGTTGACATTAGGAAAATTCGCAGATTGAAAGCATGGGTACTTTTGGAGGATAAAACCTATGTTGAAGAAATCGCAAATATTTTACAACAACTAGGTGCTGATGAAGCTACTGTGGCCAGTATTTTGGAACGCTGCCCAGAAGCAGTCGTCTGTAGTCCAACTGCTGTTAACACTCAGAGCGAACTCTGGCAGTTGGTCTGCAAAAACAATGAAGAGTTAGTCAAGTTAATAGAACAGTTTCCAGAATCCTTTTTCACTGTGAAAGACCATGAAAACCGGAAGCTGAATGTACAGTTCTTTCAAGAGTTGGGACTCAAAAATGTGGTAATTAGCAGATTTTTGACAACTGCACCGAATATTTTCCAGAGTCCTATTGAGAAAAATAAGCAAGTTATAAAGATTCTCCAAGAGAGTTACCTACAGTTAGGTGGCTCTCAGGCCAATATGAAAGTTTGGCTCCTAAAGTTATTAAGCCAGAACCCATTTATTTTGTTAAATTCTTCTGCAGTTGTAAAGGAAACATTAGAGTTTCTTCAGGAACAAGGCTTCACAAACACTGAAATTCTACAACTCCTGTCCAAACTCAAGGGGTTTCTTTTTCAGCTTTGCCCCAGAAGTATACAAAACAGTCTTTCCTTTTCTAAAAGTGCTTTTAAATGCACAGATGATGACCTGAAGCAATTAGTTTTGAAATGTCCTGCCCTTTTATATTATTCTGTTCCAGTTTTAGAAGAGAGAATTCAGGGGCTAATGAAAGAAGGAATTTCCATAGCTCAAATAAGAGAGGCACCAATGGTTCTTGAACTAACACCACAGATAGTACAGTACAGGATAAAGAAACTGAATTCCTTAGGTTATCAAGTAAAGGATGGACATCTGGCAGATCTCAATGGGACGAAAAAGGAGTTTGAGGCTAACTTTGGTAAGATTCAAGCTAAAAAAGGAAGGCCGTTATTTAACCCTGTGGCCCCCCTGAATGTTGAAGAGTGATTGCTGACTTGTGCTTCTTTCCAGCCGGCAAAGTGAAACTGAGTAGCACAGACTCAAGTGACTGAGGTGCCAGCTCATATGCTCCAGTAATTTTAAAACCTGACATAGCTTCTGAGTTATTACCTGTAATTAACATATTTTAAAATATAAATTGTATTTATTTTAAATAAAGTTGAGCTATATCCAAAAATCTCTCTGTGCTATTACATATCAGTGTGCTGTTTTATAAGTGAGTCATTTCTAACAAGCGTATCAGTTTAACTCAAAGTATGGGTACATTTCTATTCACATAGCACAGCTGAAATGCCTCTTAGATATCCCACTACTGTGGCCTGAATTCTGCAGCCTAGTGTTAAGTGAAACATTAGTAAACTTCTATTATATTTGTGAACCAAGTATTACTCATCCATAAGGAATTAGGGCTTACTTCTGTGCTCATTATGCTTAAAATTAATCACTTCTCTCATAAAATGCCTTTGTGTGCATTCATTACTTTCCCACTTTACAGATGAGGAAACTGAAGCTGAGAGAGGCCACTCAGCTGTCAAGTTAACACAGAATAACTAAGATCTGACTTCTGTTCAAGCCTGTGGATACAAGGATTGCTTATGAGTTGGCCTTATGACAAGTCTCCCCACCAGGCATACCGAAAGTGTGAGTAACATCAGCAAACTAAGGGTTTTCACAAAGACTTCCCTGTTAATAGTCCTTAAATTTTAAATGATCTACTTAGCATACATTTGAAGTAAATGAGCTTTTGAAAAACTTAATGAAAATTCATGCCTTTAAGAAGAAAAGTGTGATGGTGGTTACTGTTTTTAGTAAAGCTTTTTAAGATTCAATTTCTAAATTTTTTCAGATATTCCCTAGAGGCTGGCTCACTTTCACCTTGTGAAGTTTTAACTTTGTAATAAATACATAACCAAATACTTGGTTCTGACACTCACCTATCTCCACTATGTGTACATGGTCTAAAGCACTGAAAAAATCATGAACACTGCAGGCCATGTCTTCACTGTTTATTCATTTGTTTAGCAAATGGAAGTAACCTATCTGTATCTGCTCAGTTCCTTAGTGAAATCTCTGTAGTACCTACTAACTGCCTGGCATGTTGGGCCTTCCAGCTCTAACAATAAAGCACCATTGTTTACTGTTCTATAAATAGGTGACTTAGGCACAAAAAGGTTAAGTCGCTTACCTAGGAATGCTTAAGAATGGCAGTCAGCATAGATGGCACAGGTCCAATCCAAGGGGCAGGATCTCATTTTAAGGTGATGGGAAGCCCTTGGAGAGAGCTGTTTGTCCTAACATAGTTGTCAATGGTGCTTTCTCTTTCACTCTCCAATCCTTGGTTTGGTACATCAAACATACGGTCAACTTGGTAGTTCTAGTTGAGGTAATCTACTAGGTATCTGAGCATGTCAAACAGGCAAATGCAAAGTTGTGGAGCTGTCAGGTCTCAAGGTAGAGTTGGGGTCACCTGCATAGTGAGCGTATAAAAGCTGTGTTTTCAGACACACTGCCCAGAAAGAGTACAGAGATGATGTATGACCATAAAAAAGTCTGCTGTCAAGAGGGTATAGTAGGAATACTGAATGCCAGGGATGTCAGTTAAGATACAGAGAAGTGATTAGAGCTTGGCAAGAGGAATCTTGGGCTAGCCCTGTGTGATTCAAGTGGAATGAAGAAGTTAAGAAGGCAACTTAAGTGGACTGAGAGCACAGGAGATGAAGAGGCAGGCACTATACGGTTTTTCGGGAAATTGTGTTTGCAAAGGGAAGCAGAGAAATGAAGGTTTTTTTGTTTGTTTTTGTTTTTTTTAAGAGAGTACACATTGGGGTGGGTTTTTCTGCCAAGAGAGTGCTGAGATGGAAAACTGGCATTGATAATCCTGAAGACACGAAGGATGTTGGTTTTGGATAAGTCCATAGCAGGGGAATGGGCGTATCAGGTTGGTGGATGAACAGCATGAAGGGCAGGGTAGTTGGCTGCCTCGGTCCTGAGCAAAGGGCCTCAAGGAGGAGGTTTGAAATAGTCCTTTTCAGGAGTGGAAAAGCAGATAATCAAGAGGCTCTGTAGGTTCCTCACACACATTAACTCAGGAGTTTGGATAGTGCCTGGTGGATTAGATGTGACCATAAGACATTAATTTTCTCTCCTCCCACCATTTTTCATCCCTTTGAGTCACTTATGTTTAGTGAGAGGTTCCATAAGCTCTGAGGGTAGGTCAAAGGACGTGCCCCCGACTTCATAACTCCGCCATCAGTTGTCTAACTTTAAAGTGTGAAAATGCAGAGGTTGTTAAAATGCAGTTCTGGAGAGACTCAGCATCTTGGAGTAAAATCCAGAAATCTGCCTCTTTTATGAGAGTTTTTAAAATATATACCTGATTGCTGTGCTGGCATCAAAACACGTATTGGAGATACTTTGTCATGTTTTGTGCTTTAGTATCTAAAATATTTAAAAACTGCCTACAATACTTTCTGAACCTCTATGTAACTAGAAATTTAGAAACTATCCTGTTTAAAAATTTCCTTTATTTCCTTATTCCTTTATGAAACACTTCATCTTTTGCAAATCATAGTGCTTTATTAACAGATGCATACATTCTTTTCCATTCCTTTAATACAAAAATTTATTTAGTCATCAGTTATTTTCATCTGGCATTTCACTGAGTACAGAATTCATAATGTCAACATTTATTAGATCAGTCAAGTGGGTTGTACAGGTTTATCCTTTCTGTGCCAAATACCCACTCAAGAAAAAGCCAAATAACAGACATCTCTGGGTGTACAGCAACCCCAGTTTCTTGACGTGAACTAGTTCCGTTTAACAGGTCAAATTGCTAGTCTACGAAAATAAACTGCAAAAGACAAGTGTACAACTGTGTATCATCAAATGGCAAGTTCATTTCAACAAGAACTGCTAAAACTATCTGTACAGTGCTCTATCATAGCAAGCCTCTCCTGGGAAAAGAGAATTTGAAACAAACTTGATAAAATGTACCAGGTGACTTTTCTGTAGCAGAAATTCAATACAACCTTTTTCCTCAAGCAATTTAAAGACAAGCAAAGTTGAAAATAAATATGCAAGTGTAAGGTAAAGTCTATATTTAGAAATTTAGATATAAAGCACAGCAGAGCCTATGACTAGAAGATAAGTCAGGAATATAAACTAGCCAGGAAGCAACATTGTCTTTCGGATAGCAGGAAACAAGTTCTCCAGTATCATTATTTAGATGTCATTTAGTGTTCATTCATTTTGGAGTTTTTTTTTAATCCCTTTTGCTAATGGCCTTTGACCAAGTACTTCAACAAATACACTTTAAATCATACTGCACGGCATACATACCATTTTATACCTGATGAAGAAATGTCTTCACTTTACAGTTTGTATACAGTAGAAAGGTTTAAGAATCTCTGTAGATTTAAAATCCCTGCTGGTATTTATGAAAGCTTTTAAAAGTTAAGTTATATTCTTATCCACTTGTTGATCCACATAATTAATGTAAAACTCCTAGTGTTTCACAAACATTTCAGCCTCAGGTGTTGGATTTGTCTTAAGTTCTCAGGATTGTTCTTATTTGCTCATCCAGAACATCACCCTCTATCCCCTCCCCTTCCTATCCAAAAAAATATTTGCACAATGGAGGCAAATTTTCAGACATAAGTATAAAGATACTGAAATTCTTCAGACGTAGGTTGTAACTCTTAGTTGAGAAAAATGCCAGATATATGTGCTACATTTTAGACTTTTATGAAATTAAACATGAAACAAAAAAAAATGAATTCCAGCTAAGTCACGTTTTTTGAGAATGAATGAGACATGTTAAGACATGACACAATTATCATCCATAATCAAAAATTTTAATTCCCTATCTGAAGATGACTCAGAAAATGGTACAAGGTCTAGGACTTGTAACAGTTTAAATGTCTATATAAGCCATTGAAAGTACTTATGTATCTGTGGCATTCCAAACTGACCTATGGGGCCTATTTCACTCAATTTATGTCAAATTTCACATCTGTGGTGGCTTTATACTGTGTGTTTAAAAAGGGGTATTGCTAATAATTTAAGCCATCCTCGAGATAAAATGTCTGAGGGATTCTTTTTATATTTTGGATGTTTTATATAACTCTTAAGAACTTTATTTGTACCTCCTCAATCTGAATAATCTTCCTGAATAGCTTCTGACCAGCAAGAATTGTTCCTTAGGCACTGTGAGGTGTAATAACAATGAAGCATGAACCCAGGTTGAAGTATATGATTTCATTATAACCACTGACAGTTAACAAGCACATCTTATCCACTGAGAGCAAGAATTGCTTTTACCACACTTCTCCTGAGATTCTTAAAGGGAAAACTAAACTTTTAAAAGCATCCATCTCTAAGTTGAAGAACTGCAGGTATTAGAAAAGATGTTTTCTAATTGAGGGTATTAGAAAAGATGTTTTCTTTTATAAGGCATCAATGATTAAATTAATATAATGCATATATCTAGCAAAAGGTGGTTATCAATCAGTATCATAACTATTTTTTCTTTTAAACTTCCCTAATTCCTGCTACTTTTACCAGCTTAAATAGGAAAAGAATGCCTCTTGGCCTAATTAACTATGGTTATAAAAAATCTAAAACATCTGAAACTATTAGGCACATTAAAGGTACAGTTTATGTAGTTCAAGGTTCCCTTCTGAAGGGGCAGATGAGTTACCTGGCACATTATATATATGGAACTGTAAGGATCATCCACTAAATTCAACTTTCACATTTTTAAACTGAAAGACTTATAGTAAATAGTCAAATATACCATATCTTCAGTTACAACGAAGTAAGTGTAACATTTAACCAGATAAAAAGCTGGAATTTAAGTATGAGAAACCTTCCTACACTGTGCTAGTATTGGTCTCTTCTTTTTAGGCAAAAGCCAGTCATCAATACTTTCAACACAGCAGTTTAGAAGATAAGTCCAAAACAGATGACTTGGTTTATAGTCCATAACTTAGCAATTCAATGCCACTGGCATCATAATGCTGTGGAGAACTGGTGTATCTCCGTATGTTAGTCAGACTTGTCTTTCTTCTTTCCTGTTAAGGGCACTTTGTTCACAACAGCAGACCCAACAGCTGTAACACCTCCAGCCACAGCAGACACGCCCCCTTTCACCAGCCCTAATCCCATGGAAGGCACAGTTGTAACAGCTGTTTTGGTCACCTCCAAACTCTTTCCACCAATCCACGCTACACCACCAATGGTGGCACCAACAGCTCCCTTTGTAACACTGAAGATACCCCCAGTCACACGGGATAACATGCCTGGTTGTTGCTGTGGGTGATCTTTCATTGAACCTAAGGAAAGAGAGTGTGAGACAATCAAATACAAGTCTTTACTAAGATCAAATCAAACTGAAAACTTTCTATCTCAAAGTTGTTTTGACAATTGAGCCACCCACATAAATATTTCTGATGAAGACGCAAGCTCTTACCTCAAGGTAACAGACGTTCACTGCTAAGTCTTAGTATCTTAGAAATACTTTAGAGACTGATCCACTCTCATAAAATAGAAACCTAATTTAAATAACTACTTTGAATGTTTCTTGACTTAGTTTTGTTGCCTGTTAATCTATTTTATATCCTAAAGGAGCATGAAAAAATATATTTAGCCTGCATTTCTTCGATACAGAATTCAGTCACTCACTGAAACAATCTTCATTTAAAAGGCTGGTGCTCAAGTTATGGTCTGAAACTCCTGTATATGACCAAGACCATTACAAGGAGTCTGTGAGGTAAAACCTATTTTCGTAAGAGTATGAACATGGCATTTGTTTATTTACTTTCACTCAGCAAAATTTTCCACAGAAAAGTCAACGTAATTTTCTAGAAGCTAAATGACGTGCAGACAACACCAAAGCAGCTGCGAGAGTCTGCCTTCTGTTACAGCAGTCCCCCTCTTATCTGCAGTTACCCATAATTCAGTAATACTATGTACAGCAAGATATTTTGAAGACCAGCCACATTAATTTGTATTAAAATATATTATTATAATTGTTCTATTATTGTTAATTTCTTACTGTACCTAACTTATACCTTAAACTTAATGATATCTATTCATAGAAAAAACAGTATACATAGGGTTTTGGTATATCCACTGTGTCAGGCAACCACTAGGAGTTTAAGAACCACTGATTTAAATATATAGTAAGTCCTTACTTAACATCATGGAAAGATTCTTTGAAAATACAACTTTAAGCAAAATGACACAGAATAAAAGCAGGTCCTTGAGTAATTTGATTTTGTACAATGTCAGCTGGGATTATTCTCAGCACTATAAGGAAATGATGTAACCTGGATTTCTGATCTGTGTGTTCCTTGTAGTACAATTAAAGAGCTAGTGCTATGTTAAAATTACTCATCACTTGAGACCATGTACTCCCAGAAAAGGTAACATCAATGTGATAACTCTTGACTTATTCTAATCATTAAGTTTGTTCTCTTTGCTTCTGTGGGGCTTTATTTTGTTTTTAACAGAACCACTCAAATTGGCAAGTAACTCAAGGCATAAAATGACTAGAAGATAGTATAAAAGTGTGTGTCAACCCCAAATGAACACAGGTCTTTTCTTCTTTATAAGTTAATGATTTAGGCAGTAACAACAAGCAATGGTATTTTTATTTTTCTAAATGGTATGGGACAAATACTTGGGAACTATATAGTTCAGGCAGTAAACAAGTGAAAAAATACAATCTCAACTCAGAGAAAGTTAAACTAAGGTCACCAAAACTACTAAATCCAAGCAGAATGTAGTTATCAAAGAAGATAACATTAAGAAACTTGACATTTAATGAAGAAAAAAATTGAAAATTGAGTCCTTCTAATCTACAAGGCATAAATTTACCTTGAAATAGATTTTCTTTTCATTTTTTGGAAGTTTTACATCCTATCAAAAGTAAGAAACTGACTCAAAAGACAGAAAAAGATATTAGCTATGGCTAAATTTACCGAATGCAATCAAATTTTTATTGACTTTGAATAATAAGCATAGTCAACTGAAATAAAGGACATAAGATGTTTATTAAATGTTTATCATTTGAATATATTAATTATGAAAAAGTATTATATGAAGACAATTTTGAACAGTAGATAATAGAATTGGAAAGTAAATACAGTATCTGGAGTCAATTCCCAGCCCTTGCCTTTTTCCAGAGACACCCTACTCTGACAGCCTGTGGCTCTGGTCTTGAGGCTACTTTGTCCTGTATTTTCATGTTTGATTCTCTTTCTTCAAAATTATGATTGTTCTGTATAAGCATAACAATTTTTTGGAATTAAAAAAAAATCTATCCAGAAAAAGAATTTTTTTGGAATATAAAAAAATCTATCCAGAACCATAAGTTAAAAAGGCCTGCAGTCATTTTTGGATATAGTCAAGTGTGGTTTAGTGTTTCTAAAGATTTCTGAAATAAAGGTAAGAATAAAATTGTCCATGTCAGTTTTTTAACTAAGAGAGAATTTAAGCAAAGCCTAAGACCATGTAACAATACAGGAAGAACTGCAATTATAATGTAAAGGATAAGAGTTTACCTGCAAAATTTCAAGTGCCTCTTGAGTTGACTTTTTATATATATGGTATCAAAACTTCTCTGCACCCTACCCTCACTCTGTACAATGGTATTTTTACTTGTGAAACAGCTTAAAAGAATGAGTAACAGAAAAGCAGATCATACATAATAGTGTCTCCATTCACCAGTATCTGTGATTTCTTAATTCGATCTAAAAGTATTTAATTTTATTTAATTTAATAAAACAGTAAGGCGCCATAAATTCACTTTAGCTACTTGTTTCCACTCATAGTGTAAAGATGCATACCTACCTTCCGGTGGCTCATCACTAAGATAAGAGGGGATTTCTTGGTTTTTATCCGCCTGATTCATGATCTCCTAAAAAAAGCACATACACATTTAATTTTAATATCAACATGAGGTTTATCACATTATAAATTCAGGCTTAATCAGTTTTACTCAGACAACATTTTAAAACTTCCATTACAACAAGATTTCTCATCTTGTTTCTCTCCTACCTTGTGGTGTTACAAAAAATACTTTTTGTAACAGCAGGTTGGAGCACCACACTGTGAAGCTAAGCTGAGCCAATAGCTTCAATGTGAGTTGACACCTGCCCTGGAGGTGTTTGTAGCAGACCTCTCCTGCTCTCCAGCAGGCAGCGTATTTCATTGATCTGTCTCTGGTGAATCTTCTCACTGCCCCTTCACCTCTGGCTGTACCCCATTTTGTATGTATAAATAAATCTTTAAAAAAAATACTTTTAATTACTCTAGTGGACAACACTAAAGAGTGGCAAACAATGCAAAAGCTTACCAGTGTTGTTATTGTTACTTCAACTTACACTGTAAATTACTGAGTGAGTGACTTGGAAAGTAGAGGTTAGATGACAAAAAATTTGAGTGTTTTTTCCTATAGAACATTGGTTAATTTATTTCACAACAGGTTCAAAAGAAAACCAATGACTCAAAAATCTTTATCTAAAAATTTTCTAAAAACATGACAGTCTTCTAAAAGTGATTCCACCAAAATCAGAAATGGATTTTGATTACTTTTATTGTTAGAGCTCTTATACAGAGGTACAGGTACCACAGATTTAAGAGTCTTATTGTGAAATTCTGTCATTTGCAACATGGATGAATTTTGAGGACATTATGCTCATGAAATAAAATCAGAGAAAGGTAAACACTGGATGATCTTGATCATAAAGTGAAATCTAAAAATGCTAAACTCAGACACAGCAGACTTCTTTGCCAGGGGAGGGAGGGAAATAAGATGTCAGTCAAAGGACACCAATAGTGAGTTCTACAAGGAGTAAGTTGGGAATGTCATGTACAGCACAGTGACTATACTTAACAATACTGTATTATGTATTTGAATACTTTTAAGAAAATCTTAAATGCTCTTTGCACACAACAAACATCATCTGGTATGATGGAAGTATTAACCTTTTTGTGGTACATATTTTATAATTAATGTATTAATCATCATACTGTACACTTTGCACAATACTATAGCTCAGTTAAACATCAAAGTTTGGAGAAAAGGGATATTGTGAAAATTAACAAAGTATTTCAGTACATCAACAAATACTGATTGAGCACCTACTGTGGGACAGTGTTTCAGGTGGGGGCATCAAAATAGTTGACAGAGACCAAATAAATTTCTGTCCCCGTGAAATATACACTAGTCCAAGAAAACAAGAAATGGATGCAGAAAGGGTGTATATAAGATTATTAAATGCTTTGGAAAAGAAGGGATAGAGAAGAGGGGGTGGGTTATTTTAAATAGGATAGTGAAGGGATCATCTCAAAGGGCAGTCAGACAGTAAATCCAAATCGCAGAGGCTGTACTTAGAAGCCAGTTTTTAACTCTGGGGAGCCAGTGAAAGGTAATGAACAGAGCGATGATGTGTTCTGGTTTACACTTATAAAAGCTCACTCTGGCTACTGTAAGAAAATGCAACGGGATCATAAGAACACACAGATCTGTGAGGAGACTTGGCATAATATTTTCAAGTTTCACGCATGTATCAGAAAAAAGCAGTTAAATTTTAAGTGGTCAAAGGTCAGGAAAGTTTCCAATTCCTTTATGAAGAACATAACAAATGATAAATTTTAATTCACCAAATGATCAGAGAAAAACTCTGATCTATTTTCTTTTATGTTTCATAATCCAGGCAAGTGTTGGTCCCTTAAATGAGTGGTAGAAGAGTGTGAGAAGTGAAAAATTTTAAAGATAATTTTACCTTCAGCAATTATCTTGCAATGCCTTTAAACCCTAACTTCTGCGTAAGAATGCACTTTACTGTACCTCAGAGTCCAGCAGCACCTCAGGTACTTAATATATTGTAGTTGCTCTACTTATCAAAACATCTAATCTTATGCTGGTTTTAGGAGGTAAGCACATTATCTCATACACAGTTAAGATTTATAAAAGGACAGTAAAGATAGTAATCTCTGGTGAAAACACTGAAAGAATATCAACTGATTATTCTCAAAAGTGTTTCAAATTTCCCTTAAATCAAAGTTTATTTTTCTTTATCATATTTCTATTTTTTTTTAATTTATCATCATAGTAAGAACATAACAAATGATAAGGAGATCATGGAACTTGAATCTGGATACCAACTTTGATCATAAACTGTGGCTGAGGACAAGTAACTTCATCAGATCCTTGATGTTCAGAATATATAAAACAAATTAAGGATATTTATAGCCCTAACTCTAAGAATACCATTTAACAAATTCAAAACAAAGCCTGCAGAAATTCCTGGCAGTGTATATGTGTACCTTCTTGAAGAATAGTAACTACTGTAAAGTCACAGTGTTCCCTAATGACTTCATTCTGAGGAGCTAACTAACTAGTGTTGTGTTAACCCAGTATCTTTATACCATATACATTCAAATCTAGAGCATCTGGCTGATCATCCAGTCATAGATGCTACCTGCAATGACCTGTACAAAGATGTGGAAATTAGACACACACACCCCTACATCTTACATATCTTAGACAGGAGTTTAAAAATAGGTATATATATTTTAAAACCTCCTTTCTGTATATATTCCAGAAGCCCTACTAAAAATCTTATCATTTCCTCCTAAAAATCCCTTTAAAAAAAGTTCTTAGCTTCTCCACAGGTACGTATAATTTTTTTAAAAATCGTCATTAAAAAGATTAGAGCTGCTTTTCACTACAACACCATAAAAGACGCATATATGGGCCCTCCCTGGTGGCTCTGGTGGCGCAGTGGGTTAAAGCACAGCACTGAGAATCTAAAGCCGCTTCCGCATGAGTTCAATTCCCGCCTGTCACGCAGGTGACCAAATGGCGTGGCAGACCTCTCCTGACCCGCCCGCTGCTCCCCTCAGCAGTGTACTTCCTCCATCTGCCTGTTCTGCTCCCCACTCTGTCTCTGGTGAAGCTTCTCGCTGCCCCTGAGCCTCTGGCCTGTACCCCAGTTCTGTATGCACAAATAAATAATCTTAAAAAAAAAAAAGACGCATACGCATTTATGTAATATGAGCCGACTTTATCCTTTTATGGATAGGCATTGAGAAGCAAAGAGCAGAGCAATATTGTCAGATTTGTGCTTTTAAAAGCAAACTGAAGCAAGAACAGATTTAAGGACAGACAGATTAAATACAGTAAGTGAGATAAACAGTCTCAACTCTGCCAGTTTTTGCTATCTAAATATTTGGGCCAAAAATCTACTGGGATTTACCCTTATTTTCTCTTTTATTACATTCCCATCCAATCATCAGTAAGTTCTATTGCCTAAGTAAGTCCAGAAGACAAGCACTTCTCATCACCTCTCCTGCTACCACTTTTGATTAAGTCTTCATAATCTCTTAGTCACATTTAAAAGGCAGTATAACAGAATCCAGCAAAAACAAGCAAAATAGTAACTGAAAATGCAGTCAAATAAGAATATTCTTTATGGAAGACAATAAGTTTCCAAAAGACACAAACAGTGCAGACATTGTAATAACTTATGAAGAGCAAATAGGAAAAAGCTAATGTTAAAGAATAAAAACCAAGTGCTATAGTATGATCCCAGTTTTTTAAATGAATATAAAAAAACTGGTAGCATAGCAAAACAGTCACAAAGCTTGCTATGAGATATATATAGATATGAAGAGAATAAGAGAAATATGGCATTTCTCTACAGAGAACTAGATTAGTTAAAATCTGTATTTTAATTTTCTACCATTAAACAAATAGGTAGGGTCCTCTGGCACATCCCAATACCTACTCAAGACTTCTGTGCCAATTTGTAATGCAATTTTTTTTTTTAAAGTTTGCTTTATTGTAGCCCTTTTTTTTTTAAAGTTTATTTATTCATACAGAACTGGGGTACAAACCAGAGGTGCAGGGGCGGTAAGAGGCTTCACCAGAGACAGAGTGGGGAGCAGAACAGGCAGGTCCATGAAATACACTGCTGAGGGGAGCAGAGGTCTGCTGTGCCATGTGGGTCACCTCCGGGGCTGGTATCTAACTCTGAAGAGGCTGCGCTAGCTTGCAGTGCTGCGTCCTAACCCACTGCACCACCAGGATGGGCCAATTCTAAAATCTTAACCTATATTTTTACCATTTGGTAAGAACATGTTTTTGTTGTAAAAGGTAGAATATTTGTGGGATAAGTGAGATAAAATATTTGTATAAACATCAATTTTAAGCATCAGAAGAAGAGGTCAATACAACAGGGTATGTTCTGAGACATGTGCTTTTATCCTAGTGCCACCCTCAGAGGGCTTTAAGCAAAACTAGCACAGACTACATGGCATAGCCTCTTGAGACCACTGTCACATATGCTGTCCATCAATAACCAAATGTTAAATAGAACATTACTGTATATGGCCCAGGTTTGTGGTTAAAAGTAAACTTTTTGCTAGAGCCCATGCTTTTCAAATACACTTCTTTAGTAAAGGAGTCAGCAGTGGGGAATGCCAGCTGGGGCCTCAAAAACCACAGGACAACATGATACATTTTACTCCACTATGGTTTAAAATAATCATTTGTTGTTAAATACATAATAAAAAGTAAAATGAAAAGTGCTTGAGAATTTTGAAAGATAGCTAGACTTTCAAGTAGTTTCACTCTTGCCTGGAGCTTCTGCAGGGTATACTCACTCTGGGCTCTACCAGCTTCCTTCCTAGTCCAGTCACTCTACTGCTGTGCCACAAGTTTACTCTGCCCTTACATTAGGAAGATCCTGGGTAGCAGAGTCTAAAAGCAGAAAGCTAGATTCTATTAGACAGAAACAGTAACAGTTACACTTCATAGCATTAGCAACAGGATTACCATTAAACAATAAAATAGAAAATCTAAAGTGTTGCCAGAACTGAAATCTGGCTCTCTAGACCAGAGAAAGTTTTGGGTATGTATGAGTTTCTTGTATATTACTGGTATTAAGACAAGTATTTAGCATTAAGATTTCTCTATATATTTTGTTGAACTCTCATCTAGTTATAAGACAAATTACCTTATAAATATCTTTGTTTAAAAATCTTAATTATCTATGGTGCCATCTGTACTTTTTACTCACATAACTCTTTCCCAATTTCTACAGACATGTATGTACCAAACTAAGTTCCATTGAAAAAAACCTCATAACTCGTAAAGCTTCTATTAATGTGTTTTCCTAAGAAAGGTTATAAAGACAAGTATGTCTTTAGATCATGACAAATAATTTAACATATTCTATGCATATAAGCCAGCTTTACCATTTGGTCCTGACATGTGAACAAATTATTACAGTACCAATGGAAACTGGTTGTCTGTAGGTTTTTTTAAGTATGACATGTCAGACTTCTTTGCTATAGATTGCAATTTATTAGCAGTTACTTTAAAGACTTTAGGCCAGGGTGAAATAATACTTGTTAAGTACCACAGTATCAAAGATAATGCAGCTGGCAAATATACTGAGCAAGAATTAGTAACAGCACTATTCCCTAGAGGGTAATTTCTTCCAGTAATAGAAATAAGTAAACAAATGCCTCTTAGTAATTTTCTTTTTAAAAAAAGGAAAACAGATAACAGATTCCTATAATGTGTTATATACAAAGTTGTTATTAATAATGAAGGACAAATTTACCTATGGCTAAGCACCCCCTGTATATCAAAGGAAATTAGATAGTACTAACCCATTATGCAAAGCCTAACTACACAATACAGTACACACGGGTTTACCTGCAAAGCTGCTTTAGAAACCTCAACAGCATTAAACAGCAAGTGCCAATTTCCCTATAAGAAAAAGACTAAATGAATTAAGTGAAGTCTTCTACTTTGACTTTACAGTATCTTAGCAACTTCCTCACTCCCATGTTTTAACTTCTTTACCAGACTACAAGGAATTTCAAATACGTATTTAAAACTTTGACATACAAAGACCAACAAGCAGTGTACGTTAAAACATCAACTCAGTATTTTTATGTTTCTCTAGTTAGCCAGCTCTCCTGAACAGGCTGCTTTTAAAGATGACCCTTGTCCATTAAATCATCAACAAATAGATGACAATGCACAGGGCTTGTCCGCTAGGGAAAAGGAATCTGCAAGAGAAATCTCTTAAGTGACCACCTCATGACTTAACCAACAGTACTGAAATGACAATTTTATAGTACTGTTGAGTGGCACATTGAGCAGAATTACAATCTGCAATCAAACCAGACAACCAGCAAACCAGATAGCCAGTATCACTAGATTACACCTCACTAGTTCAACAGATATCTGAGTCACTACTGTGTGTCAGATACTGTGTTGGGCAGCGAAGTTTCAGCCTTAACAAGCAAGGTGTTTATAGACATCTAATCTGAAGGTGTGCATGTACAATCCACTGAGATCTTCAGGAAGTAGCAAAATTTCAATGACTGAAACAAAGATTTTCTTACTGTTAAAAAAACAAACAGCACACAAGAACTACTAACCTTTCCTATTATTTTCAATATGTGGACATGTTTTTACTAAAATTACATCCGTTGTTTAAAAAAAGCCTAAAAGTGGGGGGGGGGGGACCTGGATGCATGTGGGTTTATTAAAGGTTACTTCCTTTTTTAAAAAGAGCAAGCATGGAGACACACATACCTGTTGATGAGCTATCTTAGTGTTTTCATTTGGAGCTAGCAGGGTGCTCGCAAGGACATAATCAAGAACTCCCTCTACGTGCTTCTAAACCTTTTCCGGGGTCCCTCTCTCCAGCACGGATCCCTTTAGGCACTAGCAAGACAACTTACTTTTCCCGAGCAAAGGGAGTGACGTGGCAGGAGGCAGAATGACCCTAGAGGAGCCGTGGCTAGGGCTGAGCTGGGCACCTCCTCCCTCCTCCACGTTGTACACCCAGCACACACCCGCAGGGCTCCAGAATTGGTCTTCCTACACACAGGAGGCGACCTGCTTAGGAGAGTGGCTCTGACAAGTGGGAGCTGGGGGTCGGTCTTGAAGAAGCGTGTGCAGAGGAGGATTCTCCAGACAGTGACGGTTCTGATGGGTGCTCAGGCGGTCCCCCATGTCCCCGGCGCCCCTCTCCTTCCCCATCCCTTCTCGCCGAAGTTAGGCGTTGGAACTGAGCTTCCCTACCCTGAGGAGTACTGGGATGTCACTGGGCGCCGAGGCTTGAGTGCCCCGAACCCCAGATAGTGGTTTATCAACAGGTAAGGAGTTGGCGGGGCGGGGAAGCCCAGCACACAAGTCCACCGCCGCATCCCTCACCTCTCCCGGGTTGCTGACGTCGCCCACCCAGCCCCCCAGGCTGGCACCCAGGGCTGTAAGAAGTCAGGCGGATGCTCCCACCCGCGGCCCAGATTTCAACCCACCGCTGCGGAGTCGGGCACGTAGGAGTCGCCCCCTCAGCAACATCCATCCGCCCCCAACTTCGCCCCGCCCCTCCCCCTTTTCCGCTCAGTACCCCCAATGGCCCCTCTCGGGGTAACCAGGCCCGGGAGTCAGCGGTGGGGTGCAGGGGCGCTAACGGAAGAAGGCGACGCGAAAGCGGGCAGCAGCCCGGCGCGCCCCCCGCCCTACCGGCGCGACTTACCGCCGGGGTCGGAGGCCGGCACCTGGGGCCGGGGCCGAACGGAGAGAGCGGGCAGCGCCGGAGCTGAGACGTCGAGCGACGGACACAGCCCGGGGACTTGCGGGCTCGGGAGGCGCCGCCTCAGGCTGTGG